TAGGTTAAAAAAATTAAAAAAAAGCATATCTTTAGAATTTCCGATAGACAGTCTCGCGCGCGCTAGGGATAAAATTTCTTCCCTTACAGTGTTGCCATTATTCGCTTTGAGATCGTTGAGTTTGTTGATAAAATATTCTTTAACTTTTTGCAAATATGAAATAGACAATAAAACAAAGTCGATGAAAATTAGGGCTTCCAGCTGCCCATGTTCGGGTGGAGGATTACGTTATTCAGAATTTTATGGCACTAGGTACCGTCATTTTTACACACGTACATTCATGCAGACTCTTTATTATTTAGTTTCCTTAAATATATTACAGGACGATAATATTTGGTGGCAACAATTTAAAAAATGATACGTCGTATATAGTGAGCCGACGTAAAATGTCGTTTACAGACTAATAGCCCTCCTGGGCTAAAAACTAAAATAGAATTGAGAATTATGAAAATGTTAGTATTTTATGTTAATCTCCTGCTCATAGATTCTGAAGATTTAATCAATTTAAATTTACCTTCTCTAAATTGCCGTGAAAGTAATCCAAAAACAGTGAGTTTGATTCGTACCATTATAATTTTATCCTACGACAGCGAGTAAATTTAAATTACGCATACATAAGTCAAATGTAAAGTATAAAAGTATGTAAATATATATGGCTAAACACACAAGTAAGAAAGAAAAAAAGAAATGTTTAGTAGTTTCAGTTTGGTAATTCGATCTGCAGATCGAATGTGGTTTGGAGTTTGTTTTCAAGTTGAAGGAAATTCTTTCCAAATATGGCACATAAAATATGCATATGTAGGTCTAGCTGGGGAAGACAGTTAAAGAACTGCAAAATATCTGGTTGAAATGACTTGTCTTGTGAATATGTATTTTTAGATGTTTAGATTAAACTGAAATGAGGGAAAACGTGAAAAGATATAGCCAAATGTAGATTTTGTTCTGTAATTAGAGCTATTGCTAAACATAATTCTTCGCTTGTGTACCTTCATTAAATATTCATCTCTCTTAGGTTTATAACTTAGAAAGTAATATTTCTTAGCTTATAAGCATTTAAAAGCGTTAATATTTTATATCTTTCTATAAGGAATTTTCAAGAACGCTTAAAATTTCTTTTGTGGGATGCAATAATACGTTGCAAGCCACATGGTGATATGATGGTCACTTTTAACGTCTTTCAGCGCCAATCCATAGGTAGAGTTATTGTTATCTTTGATGATCAGGAAATTTTCATTTAACGTATGACTGCTGGAAATTTCTAACATTCAGTGCGTGATGTAATGTACTAATATAATGTAAAATATTAACTAATAATAAGATTTTCATCAGAGTGTAAATAGTTACATTAAATATGAAATACATTGCATCAGCAATTTAGTGTGCAAAGAAAGTTCATTACCACTAAATATCAGTGATAGAAACTGAAAATATGCTAAACATTTATTTGACATTTATTATGATATAAGTTATTAATATTTAGAAATTTCTAATCTTAAGAGATTATTTAGATTAAAATAATAACTAATTTTATTACTCGAACATTTGAGGATTTTGTTTTTACTATATTGGATGTTTATTAAGATACTATTCGTAAAAAAACTCATTTTAAATAGTTTTTTCTCTCTCATAACTATCTTAATCTATCACCGCATTGAATACTTAAATAGTTTATTCTAATTACGACTCATCAACAACTACAAAGACTGTTCCTACATTTTTTAGACGATTTTGCTTTGCTGTAAAAAAATCTTCCGCTTAAAAAATGTTTCTTTAAAAGCAGTTATATTTTTGAAACTGTAATTTATCGTCTACTACTTAATAGTTTTGTTTTGATGCAAAATGTTGCTTTTAGAGAAGCAATGGATGGAAGGCTATGTTTGTGTTCTTTCCGAAGAAAATTATTCGTATCTAGGTATTAAAAATTGTTATGAAAGCTTTGGTTTTTCGATATCTAAAGCTATGATAGGTAATGTTGTCAACAATAAAGGAAAAAATGTCAAAATTTAGCTTCAAGTGGAAAAATTGTTTCAAATACCTATCCAAGGAGAAAACGGAATGTTGTAAAAGTAAGGTATTTAATGTTAAAAGAAAATCTTCGGAGTCAAAGAACCATTAAAAGACCATTAAAATGCTCAGTGTCAAATGTAAGTAAAATGATTAATGCTGATTTGATCTTGAAAATGCGAATAAACATAATGTGCACCGTATTTCTCTGCCGGACGTAGAACGAGCTGCAGAATTCTTTATGAAAAACATTTATTCGGACAAAAATTGAAAAAATGTCGTCACAATAGCCTAATCTTCTTCTTCAATGAAAAGACAGCCCAGGATGGGTCCTTGCCTTCCTCAGAATCGAATTCCAAGCTCTTCTATCCCTGGCCATGGACATCCCCTTGGTTATTTTTAAAATTCTCAAGTCTGTTTCCAAACAGTCGATCCACCTAAGTTTATGTCTCCCTCTTTTTCGGGTGACGAATGGTCTGGCCGAGAAGATCTTTTTAGTTGCTCGATTTGTATCCATTCTGCACAGGTGTCCTTTCCATTTAATTCTCTGAATCCTTATATATTTTACTATATTTATTGCCCACGTCCTCCGTTACTACTACTACTACTACTACTACTATATCTATTTCTTTAAAGGATTTATAGAGTTAGTTCTTCTTCTTCAGATATTGTTACATTTTATGCCACCAAAAATACTTCTCAAAACTTTTTCTCTCAAAGAGAGAAATGGTACTTTTAGCTTTTTCTGTCATTGCCTAGGTCTCTGCAGAGTGTGTGAGAATGGGTGTGATTAAGCTTTTGTAAATTAAAATCTTCGTTTTTTTGCTAGGGAAGTTAGACTTCAATAATTATTTGAGACCGTAAAAACATCGTTTAGCATCGGTAACTCTACGGATCTCGGGCATTAAATCATTGAGAGTATTAACTTATGATCCTAAATATTTAAATTTGCTAACAGTTTCGAATTTGTAATTTCCAATTGCAAAATAGGGGCTGCTGTTATTATCACAGTGCATGTATTTAGTTTTATTTTGGTTGATTGCTAGATACATTTTGCTGGCTGCAGCCTCTAGAGATGTAAAAGCCACATTAAGGGACTCGGGAGTGCGTGCGACTATGTCAATATCGTCAGCAAATGCAAATATCTGAACAGGCTTAGTAAAGATAGTTCCACGAGTATTAATGTTGGAGTCTTTTATAATTTTTTGGAGGGTAAGGTTAAATAGCAAGCAGGCCAGTGCATCACCCTGTCTGAGCCTAATCTTGGGTGTACTTAAATGACTGCACTAAAAAGAGATCCATTTATTATCGTGAAAGAGGAGAAAAAATCTTAAAACATGGTTCAAGGTACCTAAATAAAGTTTTTCAAAGGTATTTTTGGGTTTTCATTAGCCAATTAAAAATAAAGAGATTAATATTAAGAACAACTACACATATTATCAAAAGCACATTTTATGCCCGATTTTGATATATGATATACTTTCTCTTTGCATACAGTGCGATCAATTAGTGAACTGCATCAAGACACAGCAAGCAGCGACACATCAAAATCTGCTGTTAATTTCTTGGAAAAAGTGGAACAAGAAACGGGTATCAAGGCCATACCCTTCATTCAGATCCTTATTAAATCTTCTGATCTGTCACCAATGTATTTTTGCGTTTTTGTATTTTTAAAAAGCGAGCTGTCCAAATGTCGACCTACAACTTCCTTAGACTTTGGAAAGCTGTTCATGAGCAATTGGATAAAGTACTCCTTTCAATATAGAAAGGTTTTATTTTTATTAACTTCGAAATAGGTAGAAAAGCAGAAAGAAAGACGATGTAGAAAGGTAGTGAAGAATAAAGAATATCAAATAGAACATTTAAAGCACAAAAATTATAAGTAAAATATTTTTGTAATTAAAATAAAAGTCATCTAAAAATGTGCGAACAGCCTCTGTAAGTAAATCTACTTTTTTTCTAATTTTCATGTAATTGTTGAGTTTACTTACAGATATCACACTAATTCGATTTGTACATATACTATGCAGCGATTCTGTTTGATTGTGCTACTTAAAATCAAAGCATTTTAGATTTCTAGAGACTCTGCAATCATGTGAGAGGAGAAAATGTGTGTGATGTGGACGCACTAAAGCGGATCAGTGTTTACGTTTAAAGTGGTAAGTTTTGCCAATTTTTCTTTTTATGTTTGGGATGTGAACTGACTTCACCTGTAAAAATTATTACTACTTAAAGCTGTAAAAAGGTTCAAAATTTTGGGTTAATTCTTTTATTTTTCTAGCACAAAGTTTTTACGAACTGTTTAATACCTGGAAACATTGAAATTTCATCATCATCATCAAATGTTTAAGTAATATTTGTTTGAAGCATCAAAATGTTTAAGTAATATTTGTTTGAAGCATCAAAATGTTTAAGTAATATTTGTTCGAAGCTGAGAATGGCAATAATTTATACAGCAATTTAATACTAAAAACCTGCGTTTTAAGACTTTTAGTTTCGAAAACAGGTGAGATTTTATTTTTGTATGTTTAAAATAGTGAATTTTAAGATTCCAGTAATACAATCAAGGGGAGGTATAGGCTTTATTACTATGAGATAATTTTATGATTTGCATGTTGCGAACTGTTTTGATATTGGTGTTAAAATATTCTGAGATGAATGACATGAATTGCCTTCTTTAGTTATTGTTTACTTCAGTTATTATTTCCAGAGTTCAGTATCTTGGAAGAGTTTCATGCATTCTTTATTTCATTCATTAGGAAACATGGGTCTTATTAGTTTTTGTAGAATGCTTAGAAAAAATAAAACATTTTCCTGAGTTTGGCTCAGAAATTGTTTGGTGGAGATTTCTTCGGAATAACATATCTCAGCATGAACGATAAAACTCTATGAGTCATACCAATTCTCTAAAGAAGTTTCACTGTATTTCCACAAGGATATAAACTAAGCAGTAATACTAATCGGACAAAAGTACCTCAACACAAACAATACAAGCATTCTAAAAAACTCAAGATTTATCGCTTGCCGAAAGAGAAACAAATAAAAAAACATAAAAACAACAACAACATTATATATGTTACAATAAACAAATAATTCCACTGCAGCTTCGAAAGTTCCATTGATGTCAGATTATTGAAGAGCTCAAATGAAGGACTTTTCTTGTGGCAAGCGAAAGAAGCTTGAATACAATGTTCAACTAAACTATTAAATCACTGCATGGCGTGAGATTGATTATTCCGTTAAGGAAAGCTTACTTTTTTCCTAAATAAATGTTACCTGCACCTTTAACATCTTTTAACGAGTTGTTTTGTCTGATTCCGGCTTACTGGATCTGCAGTACGTTGCAGTAAAATCAAAATTGTTTCTAAGCAAATGTCACAGAACACGCATGAGTGAACTGAAATTTACTGGGACAGAGGAGCGGGAAAGGTTGATTCATTAGCTCTCCATAGACGATCGCTGTTCTCACCGGTTGTACGATTAGTCCACAGAGAAAAGGAAGACCACCCGTCAGAGGTTGGCCATACTGGTCGATGTCCGTCCTTCCGTCACCATTATTGCTCAAAGCACAGCGAACGAAAACTCCAGAAAGCGACTACTGCTGCATCACCAGGCACAATGGAAGTCCAGTTTCGAAACGGCTTACTGGCAGAGCAGAAGGAAGGCCACAAGTATGAGCGTTCGAATTGTCCTGGGGAGCAGTTGAGTGGATTTGTCCGTAACCGGCGGTCTTTCTGAAAAAAAAAAAAACATTAGAAATTAGGAAACAGCTCATAAAGAACACCAATTATTTTAAATCTTTTGGTATAATATGTTCACCATGAGAAGAGACTTGACCTTGCCTGCGAGGAAAGGGATTTCGTTTGACTATAGGGAGAGACGCACAGAATCCTCCAAGGTTGCACATGATTGAATCAGAATTCCTTTGTTATACTGCATGCACCATTATTCGTTTAATCTAAAGTAACACCCTATGGGGTTATAAATACTGGTTTAGTATCATCCTCTGGCAGTCGTGACTGTGGGGGTATAAAATACTCTGGTGCAATTTCTATTGACCGAAATGGCAGCCTATGTTGTCCCGGAGGGTAGTAGCGCGAGCCATCCGAGTGAGTAGCACGATGGCCAGATTACGGTTTAGCAGTTTGCTACATCACCCTTCGTAGTCTCCGTAACCTCGAGAGTGGTAACCCTAAAAAGTCAGTTAAAAGTGTTTAAAAGTTCGCCGTCCGGGGAGTGGGTTGCGAAAGTGAGACAATTATTACCCTTTCTGGAGGGCTTTTGACTGGCTATAGTTCACCTTTCCCTTATATAGAAATCAGGGTTCAGTCTTTGTATTGCCTTTCAGTATGCGAAGCGGATAATGAACCTTGACTTACCTAAAGTAAGTGCTGTAAGTATGTCTTTTTTCGTAGTAAGACATACTCTGCAAAGGCTTTCGGTAGCCGAAAAGCGCTACCAAAGTTCTGAGTATAGTTATAGTCTTTCCACTTGAAGAAAAGACTTGTGCATGTTTACATCACGTGGTCCCCCTCGGGGGTCGACGTAGAGAACTCTGCGAAGCTACTGGCTAGGATCTGTACCTAGACAGTCTCGGCCACGGGGGTATAAAATTTATGAACTTGGTGGTTCTGAAGGCTCTGGGAAAGGTCACTCATTGGCCGGCCTCGGAGTCTGGCACGTCCTAGCGCGGCGTGGGACTAGTAGCCCGGGGGTTTCCCCCGGGTTCGCTGTGTAATGTCCCACTGCGACGGCTCGCCCAAGCGACTTGACGACCGGTGCTGCCTGGTGTCTTATCCAGGTGGTGCGTTGCTTCCCTGGAAGGGTAATAGTGGAGGTTGAACCTCCACGAGGTGCCCAAAGGGGGAGTGGACCCGTAATGTGATTGAGTTACACAAGGCGGGGCAGCTCAAATTGTTGTTGTTGTTACATCACGTGGGATCGAACAATCCCAGCATCTTACTTTAGGTAAACTGGGACTAACGGCGCATGCTGTATAACGATGGAATTTGAATTTACTCATTTAGAACCTTGAAGAGATGCTTCCTATAGTGATAAAAAGGGAAGTCAAGTCTCTTCCAGTGGTGGACGGAATTACTGTGAATAATGTCCACGTTTGATAATTTTTTTCTTGTTTTGGTCACAAACAAACTCAGAATGAATAAGACAATTTTTATATTATTTGAACATTATTATATATTTTTATCCCTTTTAAGTTTCTTTAAATATTTTTTTTTTTAAGATTCGCAAACAAAAGTGTTAAATTAATGTATACAGTGAAATCCCCATGAGAAGATCATGCTCTAGACGATTTAAAAATCATCTTTCATCGTTTGTAATCAGCATAGAGAAATTGGTTATCCATACTATTAGATACTGTTATTTAGTTTTGTTATGTTCTCAGAAACATTGATTACTTTCAGAGGTGATCATATTAGGAAGACGGTCGGTGTGAAATTTCAAATATATTTGACTAGAATGAGTTATTGGGGGAGTTAAAGAAGCAAGAATAAGAGTAATATTCATAAATTTGCAGGACTAGTTTAGAAGGTTAAAATATAGAACCTTTTTCATCAGCTGCAGAAATGCAAATGATGAAAGAGAAACCAGAAATAAGATAACGTAAAACGCTAAGAATGAGAGGAAAGAAGGGCGTCACCTATTAATGAAAAATGAAAACATCTGTGAAATGATTTCTTTATAAAGTGAGGGTAAGGACAGATTTTAACTGAGATCGTTAACCAGAATTGAAAGATTTTTAAAATGTGAAACTCCTCTAGAAAATCTCATTTGTTAACGCAAGCATTTTTCCGTAGAAATATATAAAATGTGTTTTATGACCAACAGTACTGGGCAACAGGGGATTTATGTGTTTCTTTTTTCTAAATTATGCCTCATGCTCCTTAGCGCAGAATTTTAAGGTTTTATTAGTTTTACCAATATAGATTAAACCACAGTGACAAGGAATTCTTTATATACCCTAGGACTTCATATCCAGAATGGGGTGTTTACGTATTCAAGCACGAATACTATAGAAAGAAGAGAAACAACTCGAAAGTTGAATTTCTGTTAAATACGTGCAATTTTACAGTTAATCGATAGAACGAAAGGAATGACAACAGAATTAAGATGTCTCAAAACGAGAAGGTACCTTTTGATGCGTTGAAATGATAATTTTGTAATCGTTTAGTCAACAGGTCTCTGGCTATCGCAACTATTAAAGAGTTAAAAGTCTTCTGTCGAACAATCCATAATTCATGCTTTTAGGAAAGGAAATTAGTGAACACATTGAAAGTGTAAAAATGAGCCAGTTATTGAAGGATTAAGTGATGACGTCATAATTCAAAGTATGCTGAATTTGCAGATATCGAAAGAAATGGAGAGTAACGAAGAACAGAATTTAATCAAAGTGAGAGGTTGTTGGGGGTCTTAAATTTAATTTATGAAAATGAAGAAAGTAAAAATAGAAAATAACGTTAGGGAAATAGTGAATATTCATATCCTAAGTTAAGATTTATTTGAAAAAATAGAGTAATCTATAAAATAAGTGGACGACCGAACTTTACTTAAAGTTTTTATGCATGTGATGACGCTTTGAAAGCAAAAATTAAATAAACATAACTAAACAATTATTAAATTTATTTAGCAACAATTTTTTTATTTCATGCACTTTTTTCCAATCCTCAATATATTCAGCATGCAATTTTACTCATAAACTGGCATAACTGATAACTGGACTTTTGTTATATTTTTAAATCCTTTTTCTTATTCCTTTGATATATTGCAAACTGTTTTCAAATATACATATTTTTGTGCAGAATTACAGCATCTACAACTGTAATCAATTTAAAAGACTGACCAAATTGGCAGTCTATAGGGATAAGTAAATAGTTTTAAGATTCTTCATGCGGAAGGCCAATACAGGACATACATTCAAATGAATCTTTACATAAACCTTAAGCCTCAGAAGTTAAGCTTTGTCTCCTGAATTTGAAATGCAAATCTTAATTATCAAGAACTTCTCTTGACAGACGAATTTCTATTAGCATTTACAGAAATGTTTTCCAAACAAATTAAATCAGTCTTTTCTATGTATTTCGATACCATTTATATTAAAATGAATATTTAAAGATTCTTAACTCTGTCCTTGATATATTTTTTGAGCCAGTAAAATTTCCTTGCAGTTCATGTTTTAAAATAACTGAATCCAGTTAAATTTTAACTTCGAATACGTAAGTAGAAGAGAGCTGGCCACCACTGGCCATATAAGTATATTTCCGCCCCATTTTTGAGGGCAAGAATTCCGGGGGTTTGCCTTAGGATATCCCACTCCTCTTCTCCTACCCCTATCGTTTCGACAGAAATTTCGGGATTGCCGTTTATTTTCAGTGACCCTTTGCACAGCTCACACAGCAGTGTAGAAAGATATAAATAACTCGAGGAAAACAGAAATAAGGTAAGGTAAATTCTCCTTAACAAAGGAAGAATACCATGGATCAGCGATATTATTCACAGAATAAATTGTAAAACTTTGATCAATCAGCAAGAGACTAATATAATTACATTTTGAAAGGACTATTCAGTTAATGTTTAACTACTATAAACTGAAGTGGCAAAAGTCATGGGATAGCAATATGCGAATATACAGATGGCAGTAGTATCGCGTAGAAAATGTATAAATGCGAAGTGCTTTGGCATTGCTTTCATTTGTGTTCAAGTTATTCATGTGAAGAGGCTTTGACGTGATTATGGCCGCACGACGAAAATTGACAGACTTTGAACGCGGAATGGTAGTTGGAGCTAGACGCATGGGTCATTCCATTTCGGATATCGTTAGGGAATTCAACATTCCGAGATCCACAGTGTCAAGAGTGTGCCAAGAGTATCTAATTTCAGGCATAACATCCCACCATGGACAGCGCAGTGGCCGACCACCTGCACTTAACGACTGAGACCAGCGACGTCTGCATACAGTTGTCAATGTTCACAGACAAGCAACACTGCGTCAAATAACCGCAGAAATCAATGTGGGACGAACGAGGGACGTGTCCGATAGGACAGTGCGGCGAAATTTGTCTTCCTTGGGCTATGCCAGCAGAAGACCGACTCGAGTGCCTTTACTGACAGCACGACATCGCCTGCAGTGACTCTCCTGGGGTCGTGAGCATATCGGTTGGTACCTAAACGAATGGAAAACCGTGGCTTGGTCAGATGAGTCACGATTTCAGTTGGTAAGAGCTGATGGTAGGGTTCGAGTGTGGCGCAGACCCCACGAAGCCATGGACCCAAGTTGTCAACAAGGCACTGTTCAAGCTGGTGGTGGTTCCATAATTTGGTCTGGGCTGTTTTTACATGGCATTACGACAAAATATTAGGAGGTATCCCACGACTTTTGTCACTTCAGTGTAATTGAAACGCAGCTGTATATATATAAGAAAGTAGCAACACAACATGAATTAGAGAGACCTTAGTGGAATTACGTTTATAGTCTCAATTATTATCGTTTGACGAAACGCGCTGTAGGTATTAACTTGATTCGAGTTTTGAGCTGCTTTTCCCTAAATAAATCCGACTCAAACCTCGAGTTCAGCTATTTACGATTTATTGCAATTTTTGTATATATTTACTATGTCTTTGAAATGTATTTAATTTTTACAAGAGTTCTTTTTAAAATTGTTTGTGCGTTAAAATATCTTAATTTTTCTCACCCTTTTTGATTTTGAGGTCATCTCGA